TGAACTCTCTGCCTGTCCTGTTCCGCCAAGGGAGGCCGCCTATGAGCTCTCTGCCTGTCCTGTTCCGGCCAAGGAGGCCGCCTATGAACTCTCTGCCTGTTCTGTTCCGGCTAAGGAGGCCGTCTGTGAATCCTCGTCTTGCCCTGTCACGGCTATAGAGGCCGTTTACGAACTCCCTACTTGTCCTGTCACGGCTATGGAGGCCGTCTGTGAACTCTCGTCCCGTCCTGTCACGGCTATGGAGGCCATCTGTGAATCCTCGTCCTGCCCTGTCACGGCTATGGAGGCCGTCTGTGAACCCTCTGCCCGTCCTGTCACAGCTATAGAGGCCGTTTGCGAACTCCCTGCTCGTCCTGTTACGGCTTTAAAGGCCGTCTGCGAACTCCCTGCTCGTCCTGTCACGGCTATGGAGGCCGTTGGGGAATCCTCATCCTGTCCTGTCACGGTGATGGAGGCCGTTTGTGAATTATTTGCTTGCTTTGTTTCGGCCCAGGAGGTCGTTTGTGAACTGTTGTCCTGTCCCGACCCAGCCGGGGAGGCTGCCTCTGAACACCCAGCCTTATCTGTCAACCGCAATGTTCTGTCGGTGTTGTCTGTCTCTGCTTTTTCGTTATTACAGTCTCCGCCATGGTCTCCTGATTGGTGTGGTTCACCGGGGGGGTTCCCTGTTCCCTCTGCTCCGCCGTGGTGGTCTTCTGCCCCGCCGTGGTGGTCTACTGTCTGGCTCTGGTGGTCCTCCGCTCTGCCGTGGTGGTCCTCCGCTCTGCCGTGGTGGTCCTCCGCTCCGCCATGGTGGTCCTCTGCTCTGCCGTGGTGGTCTTCTGCCCCGCCGTGGTGGTCTGCTGTCTGGCTCTGGTGGTCCTCTGCTCCACCTGTACGGCCGGCTTCGCCCTGGCTCTCTACTCCGCTGGTTCTGCCTCAGTTCCCGGTCTCTCCACTTCCTTGTGGACCTGGCCCTCCATCCCTCCCCCTGTTCCATGAACTTCCGTCTGCTAGCCATCAGAGGTCACCCTTTCCATTTTCATTGACTCTCGCACTACACACTGTTGCATATCATTCCGGACTACATATCCCATCATTCATTGCACTGATTGCACACAGCTGTTTCATATTACTCACTCCCTAATTAACACTCACTCTTATCCCTTCCCTCTGCCGAGTATTGTTTAGCATTTATCACTCCCCTAGCGATAGCTACACTACGGAGCCTGTTTAGTTTGTCATAGCCTCACCTTAGTCTTGCCTTGTCTGTGTTCTCGTTTCTTGATCTTCGCCTGTGTCTCTCGGATTCCTCCTCTCGT